AAAAACATTTGAAAAGTGGGAAAACAGCGATATACGGTTTCAGTTTACCAACTTGAAGAATGTTAGAAAGGTAATACATGTTCCGCTTTTGCTCCTTTAATGAAGCAGGCCTCAATAAAGATCAAACATTTTGAGCTTCTGCTACAGTAGTGGACGTTCTTGATGAAATTCATGAAAAACGACACCGTATTAGCTCCACATTTAAACCTGTCTCATCAGTGATGGTAAGCACCGAGCAGTCTAACAAAGTGACCAGATAAAAAAATTGACTTTCTCAGCGTCGTCAATGTTGCTATAATTATCAGTAAATGAAGACACCAAAATATCTGTAAATCAAATTTATCTCAAACTTCGTATTCTGAGTATACTAGCTTAAAAAACCATCAGAAAAAAAGCTAGCAAGTGTATTATATATTATAAAAGCTGTTCGTAGACACTGATAAATTACAGTTAGTTTGAATTTATTATTCAGTGCAGTTGACGGAAGAACTAAGATGAACATGCCAAGCGTCGCCTATGTTCTGTCTACTGAATACAGTATTAATCAATACCAATATTGTATTATGCAAGTCAATTTTAAGTATTGTAAAATGCCAAAGGTTGTGGTTGCATGACAAGAGGCGTACATTTTCATGTGTTCGTATAGACTACCTAAAAACCGCTTATTTATAACTTTCACTCAAGTCAGAAGAAAACAAAGAAATGAACAACGGACACGGGTCAAAAAATTATTAAGCAAAAGAAAGATGTTTCTTTAGAGCATGAAATTACGATAAATGTAACTTTTTGGCAACTGAAAAACTTCTAGTTTCTAAACGTACTAGAATTTTTGTATCTAATTTTTTAAGTTAGATTAAGTCAGAAATGCATGAACTGCTTAAACTATTTGCTATTTTTTTATAAAACCTTATAGTATAGAGGAAAGAATAGAGAGAAACGACAGGTTTTTTTTCTTGTAATGTTAAGAAAAAGGTGAGAAGAGAATAAGTGTCAGCAGATAGGGGGTGGAGTATTGCCAACTAACTGTTCTTTGAGCTCGACTCTGGTGCTTGACAGACCTGAACTAGCCGTATTTTATACCAAAAAGCTTAGATTTTCTGAACTGTCCTTGCTATAACAATATCGAGAGACTCGACAGCTTTATTATCTTGGTCTTAGGTGTTGTGACAGCAAAGCCAAAGATGCAAAAAAGATGGCATTTTATTCATTAATAATAGCCTACTTTTCAGCGTTTTTTTACAATCAGTCATCTAGTAGGCCCATACTTTGTTGTTTCTTGTTTACAACGTTCACATAAGATTATTTTGATGTGAAAGAGAATTGAATTGTTTTTAGAACACAAAAAATTTCAGATGAAATTTTGTTCTGAAACAAAAAATTCTTTTTTTTTTCTATTAGTTTTATTTGTTCTGTGTAAATGATAACAGTCACAACAAAAAGTACTTTAAGATGAAACCAAACAAAATTTTTCAAATATATTGTATAAACATGTTGAGAAAAAAGTAAAAAAATAGCATCAATGAAATTTCCAAAAATATAAATACCAATTGAAATGAAAAAAAAAATGGTTTTTTTTTTTTTAGAATGTTGAACAAGTTTATTAATTGTTTCTTATCAGTTAGTTGGCAAGTAAACAAATAGTGAAGGAAACAAAGAAAACAGAGTTGAAAAACAAAAAGGGAGAGAAGAAAAAATCTTCTTAGAGAAGCTTTTAGAGTTGTTCGTTCATCTTTTCTCAGTATCTTTAATGCAATCTTCTATTAGTTGTTTCTAGAAGGTGCTTATTTGGCCACTAATCTGCCGCATTATCATTCCACTTCAGTCATGTTTCTTGAATCTGGAATTTCCAATAATTAAATTTGTCGTTAAGCTTTCCAGTGAGTCAACTGATAATTCTACGGTTACTGATGAAGAAAAATATATAAAGTTTTTGTTGACTATAGATTACAGTTTTCAGATTCATTTTTAAAATTTTTATTCTTTATGACAACAGTAAACTAAATACCAGTGATTTGGATGTTAATTTAAACCCTCAAAAAAATCTGTTTTTTTTTTTGGATAATAAGACATTGTTACAAAACTGTCGGCAGGCTAACTTAGTTGCCGTATTGGTGAGAAATCTATTCAAAATTATCAATAACTCGAAAAAACCATCTGTGTTTGTGTCTGTGTCTGTTTTCATAAGTGTATGTAACAGATTTACAGCCCAAAAAAAACCTGACAATAGAATGTCGCCTGTTATATGATTATTTAAAGATTTATGATTTTTTAAAAGCGACTAATAAAACAAGTGATAAGTAATTAGCAATATACAGAAAAAAAGAAAATTGCAAAAATTTTGTTCTTCAATGAGCATAAATGGTTTTGATACTGCTGCTATTGTTGCTTTAGCTAAAAACTTAGAATCAAAAAACTAAAATAATAAGCAGCCAATAATTTGTATTTATTAATAGCAGCTAAAAGATATAAATCATAAATATTAATAGTATCAAAACTGTGAATTTTGTGTT